ATCACATTAGAACACAACAATTCCAAGAATTATTAACACAAATGGACACTATACAAAGACAATCAATAGACCAAAATTTACGCAAACTTGCAGAAACCGCAGGATTTGCCGATATCTACACGCAAGACTATAGCGGATATTTTAAAGACATTAAAGATTATATATATCTAAACGGCGAAAAATACCGTCCCCAAGATATATCACCAATCAACATTTTTAGCTTTGTTACACTCAAAAATGAAATCCTTGATTTTCTAGGATGGCCCTACTACATCTTAGAAAAATTGACTATTTTATACGCAATGTTTAACTTTATTGGATTTCTTTTCTCACTCTTAAAAGGAATCTACAATACATGTGCTATACACACACAAGTAAACAGACAAGCAAGCGTAGCACGCATACTCTTTGCAGGATTTTTTGGAATTTTTTCCACATCTATAAACAAAATTCTTTTAGACGCACAAATAAAAGAATATAACACAAAAATAACAACACGACAAAATACATACGACGAAGAACATAACAATGTCGACACACAGCCAACGGCACCACATCTACCACCCCTACCAAATAATCATCCACTATCCCTAGTCCCACGAAATTTTCGAAATTTAGCCATCACACATAATCCAAATTTTCGACTCACCACATCACAAAGTCCCATCCAACATATAATGACACATCAATCACAAGATGATAATACTTATGAACAAATTATTGAACAGCCCCATACCACCGCTTTTCAATCTCAAAATAATAATTTTTTTAGCCCACGATGAGCCGCCAACTTGGATCACTCCACCGATCAAATTCCCATCCAACCAATCTTACCTCTTCAATCCCAATCATACCACTTTTTGCTTTTCCGCCACCCGATTTTCCATCTAGCAATGTAACATCAGGCATGAATTCCGACACTAACTCACATATTTCAGTTTTATACTCCATCTCACAGCTCAATAACCCGAATATTGAAACCCCCGATGAATTTGCCGACTCAGAACCATCTCCATCCAATAATTTTCATAACCCTTCTAATTTTTCTCAACCCCCTTTTCAACCCATATTGTCAAATAACCCTGACCCAATCACTCCCACACCTTCTTATGCTTCCCAAGTTACCCCAACCTACTCCTCATACCATTCTGACCAATCATCTCATTCTCCAGACACCCCCCGAATCTCCCCAGAACTAGATAATTTTATTACCCTCCAACAACAACCCTACCACCTTAACACCCCGACCATAAACCAAATCTCCTCCACTACAAATTCATCCAATCCCCCTACACCCTCTTCAAATTATACTGAATCATTAACACCATCATCCACATCCACTATATCTTCACTAAACACTAATAGAGCTTACCGCACTTTTAAAAGAAAATTCCCCAACCATCCTTTCCCAGCAAAACCAGGAACAGCCCGTGAATACATCAACCACCCCCAGCATACTAATACTAAAGAATTTTTAGCTATCACTTTACCCTCATTTCCACAATACACCTTAAACACCCCCCACGACACTAACGAAACACGCAACTTTGTAGATGAATACGTTTTAATGCCCACTCTCTCTTGGACCTCATACTATCATTTCACTAACCCTCTTTGCTTACCTTTATCCAACACTTCCATCGACATAGAACGAAACAAAGACATTCTATATCGACTAACTACACCGCTAACTGCTAGACAATTTACTTACGTTGGATATAAAAAATCACTAAAAATACACACTGCACCTAGAGCTAATGAATATACACTAGAATACTACGATCACAACATCATCAGAGCTAACCAAGATCAATTCTTAGACGACGATCGCTTCGCTAATCCACAAATCACCGAGAAATTTTTCATCAAAACACCATATGTATTTACACTAAACATCTTCGACCGAAAGTTTGATCACATTATTTCAGAAGCACTAACAAACACACAAGCATACGAAAGTTTTAAAGAACGCTTCCAAATCTTTTCACTAACCTTTCACTTCCTTGCACCACACGAAAGAGATTTGCACTGCTCACATGATATTATGTTGCGCACTAAACAAACACATACATACAGTTACTATCGTTTCATCCAAAATCACTTTGACCTCCACACACCCTCTAGACAACCACACCATCGTTTTCAATTCATCAATTCAAAATACACTTCACCGTATTTCCTAAATTTCACATATTGTATTAAAGACACTAACCTCCATGGTATTCTTCGTAATTATGACCCCATAACCCAAATGTACATTTTCTGCCCCATCACCAAGACCTTCAACGCCGAAGAATCCCGACCCTTCCTTATCCCGCACGAGTTTGTACAACCTATAGAAATCCCAATTTTAGAATTCATCCACAACACTAAATTTAACCACAAATTATATAACTTAATCCAAAACACACCTTATGAGTTTGCAGTAGGCACTGAAGAACTAACCACTATTAAGGCACTTCAATTGCTTTGGCCACTGCTTCAAACTAAAAATATCTTCCGCATCTTAGCTAAACTACTAACAACTTCAGAACTAATTCACGATATCTTCCCCCACGGTTTTTTCCCCGACGACTAACAGGTAAGTATGAATTCAATGAATATTACTAACTAATTAAAATATTAAAAAACTCACCATTCTTTATTCATGTTTTCTTTAGATTTTTAGCCTTCATCCTAGATCATCTGAAAAATTCACAAAAGAAAAATAAAAAATAGCAAACTTCTTCAAAACTGTTTAAAACCCTATTAAACTTGTGCACCAACAATTAAATAAATATAATACCAATGCAGTAAATTAATTTATAAAATTTTCCCCCAAAAGCAGTAAATATACATATGATGAAAATTTGTATCTTAAAATTCCCCCATAACTAGCAGTAAATTTCCAAATTCTATGCAGTAAATTAATAAAATGCAATTGCAGTACTAACCTTTTCATATTTTCATTCATTCGCACAGAAATTCTATCCACACTCGCACAGCTCGCCCACGAAGAATTGTTTAAAATAATGAATTTCAGTTTCAAGTTTTCACACTCAACAACTCTAACATATAATAACATGCTTCAAACTTTCCTTTAACCCGGTTGGAAAAGAATCATATACTAAACAAAACTAACCAACGCAGCTTACTAAATACCACAAATCATAGAATAACAGCATGACTAAGAAAAGGAAACCAACGGTACCCAAACCGGATTAACCCAGTTTAAAACTGGATAATTTATTCTTTTGAAGACTATTACAAAGTCTTAGAAAGAAATAATAAAACACAAAAAAGTCGAAAGACAAACCCATACCACAAACAATTTGCTTTTTGGAAAAAGTACATAACCAACAAGACATAAGTAAGACCACAACAAACCCAACATAAAACGTTGTCACATAACAGGACCCCTCACAAAAACCGCATGAAATCATACTCCCACACCTGGCCTAACCCACCAGGAAGGACGTCCTGAGCATGCTCTATAGCCGGCCTAACCCACCGTGCTACATCCACGCTTTGTGACCACACCTTTATTTTTAATAAGAGCTACTCAAGGGTGAGTAACTCTTCAAAATAACCGAACTAAAACAAAAAGCTTTTGTGAAAACAACTAACTAAAATCATAATTAAAAAATATTAAATTAATAAAAGTTTTATAAAATGTAAAATCACATGATGCAATATATAGATCAGAATACAACACCAAGGACGAACATCAAAAGACAAAACGACCCCACTACACTCGAGAGAGAATGACCAACTACAATCGATATGCCGCTCACAATCACAACTCAAAGGATTTAGAGTACGACTTGACTTCGCAGAAAAGGACTTCATTGAACTAGACCAATGACCACCTCGATGTTCAAGTATACGTACAGATCCGAGTAACCAGGCATCCCCTCCACGCACAATCTCCACGCCATTCCCAAACTAGATCAGACACAAAAGAAGTTCTCCACGAAGAACAGAAAAACCTGACATAGCCAACCATTCTGAAATCAGAATTGATTTTCTTGCAAAGACTCAGTCGTTGTCACAAGAAGAAGCGGAAGAAAATTATGATGTTCGCCAAATACCAACGTCCATCATCCATCCTTGAACTACAGAAGAACTGTTCTAAAAAACTCTGTAAAACCCGGATGGGTGGAACCTGATCTAAACTACATTTTATGATTGGATAAATTAAATGTTTTACCAATGTAAAGTATTTAATATTAACCAATCATGATCCATCTAACTAACAACCCACTTATTTGTAAGTGCTGAAGTTACTTGTAATTTCAGCACCAGAGAGATTTGAATTTAACTTAGAAATTAGTTGGACTCTCCCGAGCACTTCAGCAGCCGCAATAAACCAGTATACCCTAGATCTATTGAGCCTAGCAGAGACTAGTTAAACAACCTGAGACTAGATAGTATAAGAGTAAGATTAGGATCGGTATTAGACTAAGAAGTTGCACGAATCTATCCGGCCGAAAATAAGATAGCGTGACGAGCAGACGGTGTACCCTATCCGAAATTACTCTATGAGTTACACTTCGGTCCTAACTCAAAAAGTTATATTTAATGACTTAGATTTTTTGCTCGGGTTAATAGCCTACAGTTTACTGTTATTATGTTTTTGTGCTTTTTCACGAGATATGCCATATTTTAAGCTTGAAAAAACTCAATCATTTTTCCTTCATATAAATTGTTAAAATTCTTGTTGCAAAAGAAAAATGAAATCTTTTTGCCAATAATGTTCATGTAAATTGTTCCAGTTTTTTATTTCATTTCAACAGTTTAAAAAGCAGGAGAACTTTGCATCCTCTTAGTTTTTGTATTCCCCGCCAGGTTTTTATTCCCCCTTTTGATTTTCTAATTAGCTGATTTAAAAGATCAAAGAACAAAATCTCGTTTTTTTTCGCACAGCCAAGAATTTTTTTTTTCAAAACGTGAAAATACCTTATAGTGCCGAAATTTGCGATAAAAAAATTGAACATACTGCTCGAAACCAATTATTATAATCGCAATTAACGGGATTAAGAAAAAATAACCATTTGAAAATTTTTGTTGGTAGTTTTCATTTCGAAGTGAAAACAATGTCTTCAACTATTTTTCCTTTTCTCAGAACTTCTTCTGATTTCAGTCCTTTTCATTATGTTGAAGATGACTATTCAAATGAAAAAGACTACGAATTATCGTCTGAAGTGCTTAGGTTCCAAGAGGACCAATTACAACTAAGGTCATTTGCTCAATTATTATACGTAAGTCAGATTTCTGAAAGAAATTCGGGATCCAAAACAGCAACAAAGCAATTTTTCAAACCTAAGTACAAATAATTTTCCAGCTGTTTTAAACCCAGGAAAAATTCATTAGTATCAAGTTCCATTTTTTTCAATTACGCTGATTTTTCCGATTAATACTTCAATAGAAATGCATGATCAAGTCAGTACTTGCGTAATGAAGCAAATTATAACGCCTTAAGAAAAAACAGTTTCTTGATCGATTTACACAAAAATTTGACAACCACGATTAAATAGGATTTTATTAACAGTTCAAAAACAAGGCGATTTGACAAAAAAAGAAAAAAATTTTAAATTATAACCCGAGTTTTTTCTATTTGCTTACAGTGTTTTTTTCGACTAAAACTAATAAATTTAATTTACGAGCTTTTATAAAAAAAAACTAGAAGTGAAAAAGATTCAGTTAAAAAAACACATTAAATTACCATAAAACTATGTCCTTTTAGGTGCTTCTGTGCGTTTCTGTGATTGGTGTGAATTTATATTGCATGGCTTGCTTCAAATTCGTCGACAAATTGAGAGAACTGGACTTCTATTTGCTGTTTCTTCAAGCTTTGATTGATTTGATTTCAACCGCAAGCTCATCTGTAGTTATATTTATTAACTACACGTGGTGGTATAATGAAGTTTGTCTGTATGACAACCTTTACGACGAAAACAAGTTCGTTTCTGTTAATAATACAAAACATTAACTTTCGACTCCCTGACTACCCAAAGGGTCCCCCTTTGTTCTATTTTCAGATCTCAATTTTTGGCTGGCTGACCCCAAAATTTTTCTAAAGGCGCCTAAGGCGCCAATATATACTAATTCTGAGGGGAAGCGCGCGCCGAAGAAGCTCGAGTTTTTGGTCAAAAATGCTTCCAAAAGTTGCCTAAACGCCTTTTTTGGCCTGTTTTTTTTTCAAAGTTTTGCAAGCGGCGCAGAAAATTTGATCAAAATAGAGTTTTTATAGTGATTGTGAGTGCTCGGAAAAATAGTTTGGTCGACCTAAAAAAAGGAAGATAAAGTTTCGATAATTTTTTCGAAAATTCGCCCCCCCCCCCCCCACTTGAGAAAAACCTAGATCCCCTCTGCCCTTGTGTACTAATTATGACATCCAGTTTTGGCTGGCCAAATCTAAAATTTTTGTAAAGCGTCAAAAATGGGTCCAAATAGGGTGTAAAAAGGAACTTAAGAGAAATTCGAAAATTAATTTGGTCTCTTTAAAAAAGATCAGCAAAAATTAGTAGAGCTTCGAAAAACAATTTGATCGATTTAAAAGAGGTGGACGAAACACGCCCCCCTCGTCCAGAAAATCTTAAATCCGCCCCTGATAAACTTGCTTAAAGCCGTCGTTTTGACTAATTAGTTGAAAAAGTTCAAGAAATTTTAAAGCGTGTAAGCTCCAATCAAGGTTTGTTGATCAATTGCAAAGCTCCATTCATTACGTAATTATTTTAACCTCAATGAAAGGAACGAATTTTGAAGCAAGTGATTCTATAAGAAGTTTTTGTTTAATTGCGAATAAATTTATTAGCAATCTGCTGTTATTTTTTTAAAATAAAAATCATGCAAGGATCGCAGAAGAAGACGAGTTTTGAAAACAAAAGTTCAAATTGTCAATTTTTTTCTAGGAAAATTGAAACAAAGTCCGCAAAACTCTTATAAACATTTTTCATTAAAACTTTTGAGCCACAGATATTTTTGCAATAAACTTGTGAATGAAAGCTGTTTTTCAGTATTTTGAAACTTTTTCAGCAAAAAGCATATATTGGCGCGCATATCGACAGACTTAGCATCATATACGAGCAGCAAGCGCAAAAGGATGCATTAAGAGATTACGATTGGTCAAAGCGGGTATTTTACCTAGGGGGCGTTAGAAGGGTGCACCCGCATTGGAGTTCCATGAATAAAAATCAATTATAATTGAGTTTCCTTGTCAGTGTCCACAAAAGTGAAAACAAAATGATTATAATCAATTAAAAATGGACTTTAATATTACTATTTTTTGAGGCAACGTAATCCGTTTTTCATCCATTATAATCGATTTTTTTTTTCACATTTGTGGATATTGACAGTGAAACTAAAACTTATTACATTTTTTACACTTACTCAGATGCGAATTTCAACGCACATAAAGTCTTTTTTACGTTTTAAACTAAAGATGGTTACTTGTTGTTCAATTTAATTTTTTTCTGCCCAACTTTGATGTTTTTGTTACGTTTTTATGTTACTCAATTATTGAGTTAGGACCGAAGTGGTTAACTCATAGAGTAATTTCGGATAGGGTACACCGTCTGCTCGTCACGCTATCTTATTTTCGGCCGGATAGATTCGTGCAACTTCTTAGTCTAATACCGATCCTAATCTTACTCTTATACTATCTAGTCTCAGGTTGTTTAACTAGTCTCTGCTAGGCTCAATAGATCTAGGGTATACTGGTTTATTGCGGCTGCTGAAGTACTCGGGAGAGTTCAACTAATTTCTAAGTTAAATTCAAATCTCTCTGGTGCTGAAATTACAAGTAATTTCAGCACTTACAAATAAGTGGATTGTTAGTTAGATGGATCATGATTGGTTAATATTAAATACTTTACATTGGTAAAATATCTAATTTATCCAATCATAAAATGTAGTTTAGATCAGGTTCCACCCATCCGGGTTTTACAGAGTTTTTTAGAATAGTTTTTCTGCAATTCGAAAGATGGATGATGGACGTTGGTATTTGGCGAACATCTTATTTCTTCTGGGTTTTCTTATTAGAGAAGTCCCAGATTCAATCATTGTGTCTTCTCAAGACAACGACTGGGTTTTCGCAACAAACTCAAATCTGATTTCAGAATGGTTGGCTATGTCAGGTTTTTCTGTTTCATTGGTGAGAACTTCTTTGTGTTTGACCTTGTCTGGGAATGGCGTGGAGATTGTGCGTGGTGGGGATGCCTGGTTACTCGGATCTGTACGTATACTTGAACATCGAGGTGGTCATTGGTCTAGTTCAATGAAGTCCTTTTCTGCGAAGTCAAGTCGTACTCTAAATCCTTTGAGTTGTGATTGTGGGCGGCATATTGATTGTAGTTGGCCATTCTTTCTCGAGTGTAGTAGGGTCGTTTTGTCTTTGGATGTTCGTCCTTGGTGTTGTATTCTGATCTATGTATTGCATATTGTAATTTACATTTTATAAAACTTTTATTAGTTTAATATTTTTTAATTATGATTTTAGTTAGTTGTTTTCACAAAAGCTTTTTGTTTTAGTTCAGTTATTTTGAAGAGTTACTCACCCTTGAGTAGCTCTTATTAAAAATAGGAGTGTGGTCACAAAGCGTGGATGTAGCACGGTGGGTTAGGCCGGCTATAGAGCATGCTCAGGACGTCCTTCCTGGTGGGTTAGGCCAGGAGTGGGAGTATGATTGCATGCGGTTTTTGTGAGAGGTCCTGTTATGTGACAACGTTTTATGTTGGGTTTGTTGTGGTTTTTCTTATGTTTTGTTGGTTGTGTCCTTTTTTCAAAAATCAAATTGTTTGTGGTATGGGTTTGTCTTTCGACTTTTTTGTGTTTTATTATTTCTTTCTTAGACTTTATAATAGTCTTCAAAAGAATAAATTATCCAGTTTTAAACTGGGTTAATCCGGTTTGGGTACCGTTGGTTTCCTTTTCTTAGTCATGCTGTTATGCTATGTGTTGTGGTGTTTAGTAAGCTGCATTGGTTAGTTTTGTTTAGTATATAATTCCTTTCCAACCGGGTTAAAGGAAAGTTTGAAACGTGTTATCTTGTGTTAGAGTTATCGAGTGTGAAAGCTTGAAACTGAAATTCATTATTTTAAACAATTCTTCGTGGGCGAGCTGTGCGAGTGTGGATAGAATTCTTATGCGAGTGAATGAAAACATCAAAAGGTTAGTACTGCTTTTGCTTCTTATGAATTTACTACATAGAATTTTAATTTTACTGCTAGTTGTTGGGGGAAATTAAGTTACAAATTTTCATCATTATTAGATTTACTGCTGGTGGGGGAAAAATTTATAAATTAATTAACTGCATTGGTATTATATTTATTTAATTGTTGGTGCGAAAACTTAATAGGGTTTTAAACAGTTTTGAAGAAGTTTGCTATTTTTTATTTTTCTTTTGTGAATTTTTCAGATGATCGTTGGATGAAGGCTAAAATTCTAAAGAAAACATGGATAAAGAATGGTGAGTTTCTAATGTTTGAATTAATTAGTAATATGTATAATTCATACTTACCTGTTAGTCGTCGGGGAAGAAACCGTGGGGGAAAATGTCGTGAATGAGATCTGAAGTTGTTAGTAGTTTGGCTAATATGCGGATGATATTTTTAGTTTGAAGCAGTGGCCAAAGCAATTGAAGTGCCTTAATTGTGGTTAGTTCTTCAGTGCCAACTGCAAATTCATAAGGTGTGTTTTGGATTAGATTATATAATTTGTGGTTGAATTTAGTGTTATGGATGAATTCTAAAATGGGGATTTCTATAGGTTGTACAAACTCGTGTGGGATGAGGAAGGGTCGGGATTCTTCTGCGTTGAAGGTCTTGGTGATGGGACAAAAGATATACATTTGGGTTATGGGATCATAATTTCGAAGAATACCATGAAGGTTAGTATCTTTAATGCAATATGTGAAGTTAAGAAAGAATGGTGAGGTGTATTTGGAATTGATGAATTGAAAACGATGGTGTGGTTGTCTGGAGGGAGTGTGTAGGTCAAAGTGATTTTGGATGAAACGATAATAAGTATATGTGTGTGTTTGTTTAGTGCGCAACATAATATCGTGTGAGCAGTGCAAATCTCTTTCATGTGGTGCAAGGAAATGAAAGGTTAGTGAAAATATTTGGAAGCGTTCTTTAAAACTTTCGTAGGCTTGCGTGTCTGTTAGTGCTTCTGAGATAATGTGGTCAAACTTGCGATCGAAGATATTTAGTGTAAATACATATGGTGTTTTAATGAAAAATTTCTCGGTGATTTGTGGGTTAGCGAAGCGATCGTCGTCTAAGAATTGATCTTGGTTAGTTCTGATGATGTTATGGTCGTAATATTCTAGTGTATATTCATTAGCTCGGGGTGCAGTGTGTGTTTTTAGTGATTTTTTGTATCCAATGTAAGTAAATTGTCTAGGTGTTAGTGGTGTAGTGAGTCGATATAGCATGTCCATATTTCGTTCTATATCGATATGAGTGTTAGATAAAGGTAAGCAAAGGGGATTTGTAAAATGATAATATGAGGTCCAAGGAAGGGTAGGCATTAAAACGTATTCGTCTACAAAGTTACGTGTCTCGTTAGTGTCATGAGGTGTGTTTAAGGTGTATTGTGGAAATGAGGGTAAGGTGATAGCTAAAAATTCTTTTGTGTTAGTGTGTTGTGGATGGTTGATGTATTCACGGGCTGTTCCTGGTTTCGCTGGGAAAGGATGGTTGGGGAACTTCCTTTTAAAAGTGCGGTAAGCTCTATTAGTGCTGAGTGAAGATACAGTAGTTGTGGATGATGGTGCTAATGAGTCAGTATAAATTGAAGAGGGTGTAGGGGTAGGAGGGTTGGATGAATCTATTGTGGATGAGATTTGGTTTATGGTTGGGGTGTCAAGGTGATAGGATTGTTGTTGTAAGGTAATGAAATTATCTAGTTCTGGGGAGATTCGGGGGGTGTCTGAAGAATGAGATGATTGGTTTGA